AATCCAGCACTGCATTAAAGGAGGTAAGGGAGAGAGTAATGTGTTGTTCTATGCCTGGAAGAGCAAGATTTATTTTCAGGCTCTTCTGGTAATACCAGGCATTGGGGGAACAATTGGAAAGTAGGAACAATCACTAGAGGGTGCCGCTATTCACAAACCAGTGACTTTACACTGCATGGGCTGATCCTGCTACAGGAAAGTGAAATCTGATCATTTGCTATAGTTTACGCACATTCTCCTTGCTCTTCCCCCTGCCTCATTGAATAATCCTGACAGCACATGTGTCAGAAGGCAGGCATAGACTCCCATGGAGGAAGAAATACAAGCTCACAAATTGTGGTCACATTCTTCAGACTATAGTATGAGGAACACAGACAGAACAACACTAACTACCCAGAAAAATAGTGGTCATTATACCTGCTTGACGATTCATATTTCTTCTTTTTAACTGTTCCTGAATAAATATTTTTTTTATGACTGTAGCAGTCTATTTTCGCCATAAGACCATCTCCTTTCCCATGAGGATTGAAGACATTTAGGGAGTAGTATTTTGCTGAATGTCATCTGCACATTGTAAACAAAAGAGCACAGTAATACCATAAAATAATATGTATGTAATAATGCATTTCTACAATACAAATAAACAACAGTCATATCCATAATGAAAATGTACTACTAATAATGGGAAAACACCAATAAAACTGTAGTTACAAGAAATGAATAATAATGACAATAAAACGCAGCAATAATAGAGTAATAAAAAAATAAGAGCAGAAGCCAAAGTACAGTAGACATTAGAAAATTGTACTTTTGTATTATTATGACTGCAGCAGATGGTATATAAACCCAGATGTCAACGTCTCATTTAATAAATTCATACTCCGCCCTAGCTACTGTACGCTACAGAAGCCTGTCACTTCACAGATTTAACTGTCTCTAATTATCACTTACAACTCCCTCTTCTGATCACAGCTTGCAATTAATACTCTCTTCAGATTGCTCATTACTGCTCCCCAAGTGCTCCATCATACTGTTTCATTTATTAAACATCTGCTTTGTGTTTTCTGAGGCAAGTCCTTGTACAACTCAAGCACTTCCTCCATGTTTTATTAATTCTACTATCTTGTCCTTGTAGGAAATTAGACTTTCTAAAGAAAGTGTCAAGTTGGTTTATGGATACAGTACCCATAGTTCTTTATTAGCATTATGATGTTTGTAGATGTGGTCTGGTTTTGTATTAACTGTTAGATACATTTCGGGGAGGTAACAACTGGAAGGTGGGAAGAAACTTTTACTACTGTGTGAATCAGTTTTCTGTTTTTTAATATGGGCCCCAAAATCCCTTATTGCCCGGGGGCCCCATGAGTTGTCAGTCCACCCCTGGTTGTAGTCACTGGCAGGTCTATTAAAGTAGATGTACACCTTTACTTAATGTCTTGTATTTAGCAAACTGCTGTGTATCTTAGATAACTGGGGGGTGGGGGGTATTTTTTGTGTCCTTTATTGATGCTTAATTCCACGTATTTCCTGCATCCACTATACAACCTCTTCCTGTTCAAATGCACTACAGTGATAATAGGCTGCATGTGCTTTTTCACAGGACAATTTCATAATTGTTGCTGGCTGGAATTGTTTTTTCATAGGCCATTTTTTAAAGTGGTCACAACAGTGGAATATCCTTTGGCAATAGTTTCATATTTTTATTTTAAACAGTAGTTTTTTAGGAAAATAAGAGCTTGGTAATGCTGATATAAGGGTCCTTTTTTGGACACTGGGGTTGATTTACTAAAGTGCAGTTGTACTCATTTTCCTCAGAGCCTAGTGAATGCTGTGAAACTTCACTTTGAAAAGAATGCCCAATCAGGAGCAAGAAAAAAAACATTTTTGCTTGCACATGATTGTTTGATGGAAATCAGCAGAGCTTTACACATTTACTAAGTTCTGGGGAAAATTAGTGCAACTGCACTTCCAAAACGCACAGTCTATTTGCCTTTAGTAAACTCCCCCTTCTGTGTTATGGGGTGACAATGCTCTGCAGCATCTCCCTTGTAAATCACCCTGTCACATGCTCTCCCAAAAGAGATTATAACATTCTGTGGTGATGTACATTACACAAATATATTTCACTTTTGTCTCAATTTTATAAGCTCCTTAAAGCTTTAATATGAAAATATAACCTTTTCCAAGTAATAGTTATATGTTAAAGCTTATACGAGACTTTATGGTTGACTTTACAGTTAACTATACTTATGCTTGAGTCATTTTAATAGCAGTGCCAAGGTAAATTTTCTTATATGTCCTTATGCACAGACCCATGCACCCAAAAAAAATCTTTAAGGACCAGAATCTGTCTACAACAACCGATTGGTATCTAGATCAACTGACAACACCATAGTTTCCTCTATTCTATTAACTGGGGGTGATTAGAGTACATCAGGCAGCCTTTTTAGCAGCATTATTTGAAAAAAAAAAAAAGAAAAACTGCAGTGCACCTAAAACCCCGCACACCCTCACCCCAGTGCACCGAGTCCTCTGCCATACACTCATATACCCAATGTTGTAAAAATATCAGAGCTATAGCCCATGGCCATGGTTTGGTAATACTTATTCAGTACCAGTAAAGTATGTGAATGTGACCAGGTAGAATAAACTAAACAAAAAACACAGGTATTTTGCTACACTAGAAATTCAAGTGTATAATCTCAGAGACACTTAACAAAAAATTGATTAGTAGCAGTTCAGCTTTGTGAGCAGACTGACAATGGAAAAAACTTAAACACAGAGCAAATGCTTCTGAAAAAAATAATCGGCAATAATAGTTTAATGAATTTAGGTAGAATAGTTTAAACTGTGCAGACACAAACAAGGCAAGTGCGTTTTCTACAATAAAAAATACAGTTTATTATATCAAATACAATTATGAAAACAAATTAAGCAGAGGCAGGGCAGTATGTAAGCTGCTTGAATAGGCCAAAATGTGTAACTACAAGGTAGTTTTTTTTGTCAGCAATTTAAGTGGCCAAGAAAAGATTTCTGCAGAAAATTACATAATTCCTTGTGTGGTGTGACATAACTCCTTGTGTGGTAGGCTGGAAAACACCAGACAGCTTTTAAGATTTTGCACCTTGAGTTTGGGTCAAATTGGCACTGGCACTTGCACCTAATTTTGAAGATAACAAGCACTCAGCCAAAATTTAGAGACACAAGGAAGTGACAACAGGGCCAAATGTTGAGACAATAGACACAGAGAGTTCTCTTCAGAAAACAAATTAGAGCTTCAGCTTGTTACAAGCTAGTGGGGTTGTGGAGCCTCTTGGCCATCTGCACAATTGGTGGAGGTATGAGCCATAAAAAGGGCTGAAAAACAGGAGTTACCTGGTATTCTCTAGAACACCCTAAAAGAGGTGAGGGACATTGCTAAGGGACAACTCCTGGGCTGTGGCCCTCAGACAGACCAGTGCAAATTGCAGCTGACCAGAAAAAGAACTGGAATGAAGTACTCAATCAATAAGCAATCTCAGAAACAGGGACAGGTCAAAGGTCAGGGTAGGCACCACAAGTGACAAAACAGGCTTGCATGTTTGTGGAACTACAAGTGGCAGAATGCCCATGGTGGCAGGGGAATGACATCCTGGGGAAATGTCCTTCACCAACCAAGGGGAAAAAAGATTAGAGCGGAATTAAGGGGAGGCAGTTGAACAGCAGTAAATGCCACTGACAAAGACAATAAACAAGGCACTGGGAAGATCCTGACATTACCTCTTCCCCATGGAGTGACGTCTCTTGGACACTCCTATCATAACTCAACTGGTGGGTTAGAGAGCCCCATGGCACCCAAACGTGGTAGAAGGAAAGCACTGGGATGAAAACTGTAATAGTCTGGGACAGCCCTGGGATGAAAACTATAACAAGTCACCTCGTTCTGTCATGTCACCATGGAAAAACCCAGGAGAACAAAAGTCCCTAGACTGATGTCTGGAGGAGTCAAAATCTCAGCAAAACTAACCTATAAAGAAAACCCCAACCAGGTCCACTGAGTGGGGCCCAACACAGTCACTAGTAGCACTGCATTGCCCGCTGGAGACCCAGCCTCAACAACCAAAATCAGGTACCTCCAAGATTCCCAGAAGAAAGTAAAAAAAAATCTCCTAGATAACTCAGGAGCTAAGGGATTTCTCCAAGTGCAAAAATTACCATATCTACTGTAGACCCAATGTAGCCCCTTAGAATCCCTCAAAACCTAGCCTAGCCTACAGAGAAAACCTTTTCAGGCAAACTCAAGGCACTGGGCTTCAGGAGGAGACTCCAGGCACTGGGCCTCAGGGGCAGACTCGAAGCACATGGTCTCAGGGGCAAACTCGAAGCACATGGCCTCAAGGGCAGATTCAAGGTGTATCTCTGGATTCACTGGAGTGACAGGAGGTGACATGGGTGCTAGCAGATCTTTTACAGGAATTGCAGAGTTAGTAGGGACACCCTCCTTTTGCAGCTCATTCTTAAAGGGTTTTTCTGAATTGTCTTTCCACAAAAATCTAGCACTTGGGATTGAGATACGTGAGATGGTTACAGTCTCAGAAACACTAGATGAGTGCAACGCTATAGATGTTGAGTCAGAATTGGAATTCACAAATGAGGACAATTTCCAGGGATGTACACACCTGGCACTGGAATCCCAAAAATGCCATCATCAGTTTCATCTACAGAACAGACAGTTTACTCCACTTTCTCAGGAACAGTCAGTCCAGTCGTCGGGTTCCATCACTTCTGCTGATTAATCATCAGAACAGTTAAGTGTTACTAAACCCACAACAGTAAAATCAGTCTGATCCTCCTCTTCTTCTACTGTCCCCAATCCATCTGCTGATAGAACAGAGCCTTGGGGGCAAGCTTGCACATACTCAGTTTGGTGTGTATTGCTAGAGAGTGCATTTGATCAGCACAGGACAGATCAGCACTGTCCAGACAGAGGGCCAAAGGTTATGCAGCCTCATAGGAAAATCAGGGGACAATGAAAACTCCTCCTACAAGATTTAACCAGTGCTCTGCTGGACACTGATAGAAGTCACAAGTCTGCTCTAACTGCTGATGAGAAAAGGTATTTTGCCGTTTATATTTACTAAAATAATTGCATTTCCATGTTCTGTGTACTGTGGGAGACCAGATATAGTGAATACAGGGTCCTGGGTTTAGTAACACTTTAGTCTAGTCCCCAAAATCCCTACATGCTGCCTAATGTTTAGAAACAGAAGGAACACCCTTAACCACATCTTGACTGTGCTATAGCCGAATGATGGCTACAGCCTGGTCGTCCAGTTCTGGGAGGCCATCATATGACATCCTCCCAAAAAGTACCCCCTCCCCCTGTGCACCCCTAGTGTTGTCTGATTGCTGGTTCCTTTTGATCACATGACGGTAAAGGACCAATCACAGTGGCCTTTTACCATGTGATAAGCTGTGTCCAATTACACCTGATCCCCATGTAAATACACTTGCCGGTCTTTGGCAGTACTGTCCTCACACTGTCACAGCGAGAGGAAAGTACTGACGATAACTGGCAACTGTGAAAGGTTTCATCTACATTGATAATCAAGGCACTGATTATCAGTGCATCCCCAAAAGTGCCCATCAGTGCTGCCCATCAGTGCCCAAGAGTGCTGTCCATCAGTGCCCAGCAGTGCTGCAAATCTATGCCTGTCAGCGCCACTAGTCAGTGCCACGAGTCAGTGCCATCAGTCAATGCCACCAACCAGTGCCCATCAGTACCGCCTATCAGTGCCCATAATTGCCGCCTATCAGTGTCCATCAGTGCAGCCTCATCAATGCATATCAGTGCTGCCTCATCAGTGCAGCCTATCAGTGCCCAACAGTGCTGTCTCATCATTGCCCATCAATGCTGCCTATCAGTGTCCATCAGTGCAGCCTATCAGTACCTATCAGTGCAGCTTCATCAATGAACATCAGTGAAGAAAAAATTACCTGTTTGCAAAATGTTATAACAACTACAAACAAAGAAAAACTAATTTTTTTTTCCAAATTTCTGGTTTATTTCATTTATTGTGCAAAAAATAAAAAACCCAGTGGTGATTAACCTCCCTAGCGGTCTGCTTATGTCAGTATTTCTGTGCTCAAAGTGGTACATTATTTTTCAATGGAAATGTTTTTTTATTGTAGGCCTGTATTTCTTAGGAATAACTCACTGAAATCTGTCCGAACAAGAGTCTAGGAAACATCCCGGGTATGATAAAGTTTGAAACATGAAATCATAAATTATAATATATTAAATAATCATAAAAAATAGTAATATAATATAATACATTTTATCAAATAATGTAAAAACCAAAAACACAAATTTGAAATAGAGCGCCAAGTTCGCACATCACTGATCTTAGTCGCAAAATCGTTTTCAGTGTCTGATGACGAATTTTCCCATGAATCATCAGCACTCAATTCTGCAAGTGGTTCTAATTTACTATCGCTGTTCTCTAGCTGGTCTAAAATCACTTTTGACCTAAAGGGACGCTTTTTGGACGCCATGGACAAATTCTCAGTTTTCAGGCAGAAAAAACTGTAAAAATGCAGGCAGGGCACTGGACAAAGCACTCGGGACAACATGTATGTGAAATGGTTTGATACAGTAATGTAATACTATGAGATTTTAGTGTATTTAGTGAATGTCACATTTAAAATTTTAGAATTTCCCGCTGATTCCGTCCCCCGTACGTCCCATACGTCCTGACGCTCGCAGGGAACGGAACCCAGAAGACTGATGCCGGCATCGGCCAGAGTAGATGGCCAGGGATGCTACAGGAGGGACATTGCGGGAGTGCAGGACAAGGTAAGTGCTGGAGGAATCCCTGAGCAACGTCTGCAGGGTAATCCCAAGTGTAGCTCAGGGTTAACGCTTCTGGTAATGAAAATTAACCCCGAGCTACACTCGGGAATACCTCCAGCGTGGTTACATACCACCAAAAGAATGCTCTATTTGTGTGAAAAAAAAGATACAAATTTCATATGGGTACAGTACAGTGTTTCATGACCGCGCAATTGTCAAAGTGCGACAGCACTGAAAGCTGAAAATTGGCCTGGGCAGGAAGGGGGTAAAAGTGCTCGGTAGGCAAGAGGTTAAAGTGTTGCTAATCCCACAACAGTAAAATTGGTCTATATATGCAGAAAAGCGTGCTGGTTATACTCACTGTGGAACCTAATGGATTAATCCTCTGTGTGAAAAGGCTGTTTGCTCCTGTCCTTTCTAATCCTCCCTTTCTTTTACTGTCTCCAGTCCATCTGCCATAGTACAGAGCAGCAGTGGCAAGTCTGCACATGCTGTGTTTGGTTTGTATTGATAGAGAGTTTTTGTTTGGAGGGTGCATGTGATCAACACAGGGCCAATTAGCGCTGTCTGGATAGAGGGTCAAGGGTCATGCAGCCTCATAGGACAGGCACAGGAGAAAGAAAACTCCTCCTACAAGATTACCCAGATAGAAATCACAAGACTGCTATATACTGCTGATGAGAAAATGTAGTTAGCAGTTATAGTTGCTAACATAATTGCATTTCCATGTTCTGTGTACTATGGAAGACCAGATGTATTGAATGCAGGGTCCTAGGTTTAGTAACACTTTAAGGCCACCCATTGCACTTGATGAGCAATAGAACAGAACAGGGCTGGTAAGCTTCAACCTCCAAAATTTGGTCAGTATTAACATTATAGCCCACTTAATTTTAACGGATACTCAGGCATTCTAAAGATAAACAGAAGAAGTGAGCAATAAGCTGAAGGATGTGGGATCAATGTTCAATGTAAGGTAAGACCCAAAAGCCTTTAAAACCTTTAAACACTTTTATGCATCAACAGATTCTATAACAGAAGTTCATCATCTGGTGTGGGCTGTGATGGTATAAATAAATAGAACACAACATGCCAGGTGAAAATAGAAAACTCTATTTAGATCACACATACACTAGTAATTATTTTGTGTATTGTAGAGACTATAGGTGGGTGGGGTGGAGTTGGGTGCAAGAAGGGTGACAATTGATTTTCCACTTCTTAAGTGGAAATGGTAAATCTCTTTAATTAGAGATCTGTTTACAGACAGACTCAGTAGAGAGATGTATATAGATGATAGATAGATAGATAGATAGATAGATAGATAGATAGATAGATAGATAGATAGATAGATAGATAGATAGATACATAGAGTTTTCATTTAAAAAAAAAAGAAAAAGAAAATAAAAAAAATAACAAATGGAGATCAGTGAAAAAAACAAATGTCTGTCTACCCACATCCTGAGTAAATGTATTTTTCAAAAATTAAGGCCTAGCAAATTAAACAAAGAATCTAGAGATATTACAAAAGTACTATTTCAGCAACCTGGGTGATGTTTTCAGCCTGACGAATGTCAACCCTGAATTACAATCCTGAACGTGTTCCTAAGAGATGCAGGTCTTTTTTTTATCTATAAACATGCTTTTCTGTCTGAGAAAAGCAGCAGTTTTGCAAAGCAGTGGCCCCAATGTAATAAAGATCCGGTCTTCAGCAGCTGAGCACTTGTCAATCATTTACTGATAAAAACATGCAAATCACGGACTTGTCCTGCTTGCCACTCTTGGCCTAACTTTAATGATCTGGTGCTCAGAGCACAGCCTGTCAGCTCCTCTGGGAAATACTTAAGTGCAGAGGTAGGAAAGAAGAGGCCATTCATTTCCTATCTCACCCCTAATTCAAAGTACTTGCATATACATATTCCATAAATCAAGTTGACTTGGGATTACATTCTAAGGCCCTAAACAATTTTGCAAAAGAAAAAAATGCCTCGAGCAATCTCTAAGGGATGATAAAATATCCTACTTGGTATAGTCATGAACATGGGTTTTCAGTAAGTTCTCAGCTTTAATAGGACATCTAAATAAGGCATTATTCCTCTATGATCCATTATGGGCCTTTGAAGTCCTTATTTCTCTCTTTGTTGTTATTATTGTTATTATTGTTACACTCCAGTCTCAATAAGGATTTCATTCATAAGTAGAATACAGTGTTTTCATGTGTCCGCATTTCTTTTTTTCTTTTTTTTATGGTTGTCAAGTTTGGAAGATGATCACTATAAAGATAGCATTCTTTATGTGGGTTCCAGCTAGCCATTACACTTGCCTTAACTGATTTTTTTAAGTGAACCTGGCCTAAAAGGGACAAATATAACAACACTAAATTGCAGGCAACAGTTATCTGTGTAATTCTACAGATTGCTCCCTATGGCAGCCTGTGAATACTAATCTCAAACTGTACACAGGGTTTCTCCAGATCAAGATGAAGGAAAGGTCTAATGTTTTAGTTAAAAGTATTCACATCAGGTGTTTTGACTCCACTCTGGCTTTGGTTGCTTTATACTTGCTCCAGGACAGTGGCTCAAAGTATTAAAGCCAGAGGCAGCATAGAAACTATCAATTTCAAAAATGTGGTCGATCCTTTTCATGCTCCAGTGCTGCTTTCCCACATTCTCCCCTATCCTGTACCACCAGCCTTTCCAAGTTCAATGGTGCCAAGCAGTATTACTACCACTACTAAATATGAGAGCTTCTACAGGGCATCTGGTTGTTAGGGTGCTGTGGCCACCAGATTCCTAACCACCGTGAAGCAACCCCTCCACCCATTCAGCTGTAGCTGGACATTCCCTGCTGACAGCTGAAATGTAAACAAAGGGGCAAGGGATGGATGGCTGGCATCACTGACCATGTATGGACATGACTATATTTGGTTAATTACATCAGCAACCACACCAGCCTCTTTGTTGGGGAAACTCAATCAGTGAGTTTAGAGGGGTGTAGACAGGGAGTGCAGGTCCTAGCATGCTTTTGTTTTGGTGGGTGATGGACATCATTATATATAATTGATAAGGATCTGCTATATTCACCTTACTCATTCATGTAGGGGAGGGTGGTATCTAGGTGCCCCCAGTTCTGATAAGTCCCCTGCCCCCAGACCCCCACAACCACTGAGCCAGGGTTGTTGTGATAAAGCCATTAACCTCATCAATAGGGCAAGATGCTTTGGCAGGACCCTAGCAAAATACCCTCTCCATGTTGAGTCCCCCTTGATATCCATACCAGACCCTCATCATGGATAAGGGTCTAGTATGTATTTAGAGGGGTAACCCTATACCTTTCTTTGTGTGTAGGATCCCACGTTACATTTATACCAGAACCTTATCTAGGATGAGGGTCTGGTATAGATGAAAGGAATTCTTGGCCACTTTGCTTAAAAACAGCTGCAAGAGTTGAAGTTGTTGAGTAAAGATGGATCCATCATACCTTACCTTTGAAGAGTCCTTTGAGGAAACGTACCAGGAGGTGTCTAGAGATGGTAATAACAATAACCAATGAGAAGAGAATAGGGCCTATTCAACCTAATGCTTTGTTGTAGTGTGCAGTAAAACATGCATTTATACTGTGTGCTGCTCCAATGCATGTTAACTCATAATTTAATGTGCATTACCTTGCAATGCCAATCATTAGAATTTAGAATGGCACCCCAATGCACTTGTATAGTTGCCAAGACAACAAGGGTAAATATCCTTATTTTAGCTATGTGACTGCAATTTTCAAATCTCATTGTACCTGTAGTGTGTTGTGGTGCACTGCTTTGCTGAAAATGCCACAGGTAAGCTTTTTTGTGCATTAAGAGTGCAGTGCCAGGCTATTCAAATTGATTGGATGGCTTAATATACCATTTCTTATTGCACAAAAATGCAATTCATTAAAGTCATTGCATAGTGTGAATGGGTCCTAGTAAATTTCTCTAGCATGCACTATTTTTCCAAAGTGTAAACATTGCATTACACTCTTTTATACAGTATGTTTACAGTCATAATCAATGCAAGATAGAGGTTAAACCTTTTAGCACGTGTCATTTACCGATTTAAACATGATTCTAACTATGAAGAAGCTAGCTTTTAATAGCAATCCCCTTATAATGTGATTTCCATGTTTTTGATAAAAGCCAGGAAACCTTCAGTTGAAATAAATATGTTGCTGACTTGGAATTAATCAGTACAAGCTCTTCCATTAACACATCCTGCTTTTAGTTTATTTAAAACCCTCCATAATGTTTCAAGGACCCTACGCTCCTACTCTGAATCCCTTACCTTCTATACGCCTCAACTTAATTGTTTTTATTGACAAATTAAATGTTTTCCTTTACTCTAAGTGCATCTTAACCTGCAGTGAAGTATAGAGATTTCCTTGTTTTCACACTTTTAAACGCGTTACTTAAACAGCAACTATCAATCTACATGTCTTTCCCTTTATGAATCGTAATGTGGTCCATTCTCTCTTGTATTCTAGTCATTTACAAAAAAAAAAAGTATGGTTGTGCGCTGCATGGAGCTGAGTTGCTGTTATTGGATAGCACTGAAGCACAGTGTTTAGTGTACTCCCCTAAGACCAAGTCAGCCACGTTCTCTTAACTTCCTCATCGCTCCATTCTTCCACTGGGCTTTCTCCTGCTTGCTGAGGAGTTACAATCAGCAGCATTGCTAATGAATTGAAATGCAGTTCCTTTTCTTCTTGAAACATTTCTCATACAAAACAGCTTTACTGCCCACCGCATCTCTGTCTCTTTTCGTGTTACTTCTCGCACACCAGGAAAAACAGCTATAGTCGTAGCAGTGTTTCAATTTAACATTTGATGTGTTCCACTGAGTTCTGATGGAGGAGTCATTGGCCAGCACAGCAGTACGTCGCCAGAACAGAGTCACACAAAGAGCCTCGTCACAGGGGGACGTGGCACAATCAAGGGCTGATTATTGGGACAGAACCCCCTACACAGAGAATCTTCACTTTGAACAGGTCTCACTCAGAACCTCATTATCACCAATGCATTATGTGTAAAGAGAGGCATACTGAGTTGGAGCATTGATAAAAATTATGATATATAATACATAAGTCAAAGTCCAGGATTAATCCAGTACCATGCACAGACTCACATACAATGGACAATAATAGGCCGTAGATGTGTAAGTGAGGACTTGTGACTTACCAAAGGTAGTTAATCGAGTGGATGTTGTTATTGTGTCATTCTAGCTTTTTTAGCATGAAGAAACTGAAAAAAAGGGGGATATTAGGGGCTATGTTATGAATGTGGTACACAACATGCAAACTCATATCAGCCAATACAATGATTTTGGTTTATAAACCGTAATATTATGAAGCACTTAACAGAACATGTTTCCCATTCACATCAGTCCCAACTATAGTGGAAAGTCTAATATGCCAAAGGAATGCCATATACACTCACCGGCCACTTTATTAGGTACACCTGGTCAATTTCTTGGTAACACAAACTGCTAATCAGCCAATCACATGGCAGCAACTCAATGCATTTATGTAGACGTAGTGAAGACAACTTGCTGAAGTTCAAACCAAGCATCAGCATGGGGAAGAAAGGGGATCTAAGTAACTTTGAATGTGGCATGGTTGTTGGTGCCAGACATGCTGGTCTGAGTATTTCAAAAACTGCTGATGTACTGGAATTTTCACACACAACCATCTCTAGGGCTTACAGAAAATGGTCCAAAAAAAAGGAAAATATCCAGTAAGAGGCAGTTTTGTGGAT